TATTATCCTATTCTCTTTCTGTTTCGACCAGGTTAATCTTTCTATGCAAATATCAGGTTTGTCTAATTTAATATTGGAATATTTTAAGTTTCGGCTCTTCAATAAAATATCTAATATTGAAAAAATTAGTCTAGCGGAAAAAAGAGAAAAAATTTTTTATTTTGAAGAAGGATACAACTTTTCTTGCATTTATGTGCACGTGTAACGATTGCGAGGTTTGGTACAAGTTTTGCGAAGCAGCCGGCGCGACACTTATTATTTCGCCGCGATCTCGGCCGTTTTCATCCCGCGGGAGTGTCGTCTCTCCTCGCGGACTCCTCCGTATCAGTGTTCTGAGTTCCGATATCAGCGACGGCGAGCTAAGGCCGATACCCTCTCGCGGTGATCTCCGCGGACAAGACAACAATGCAATCTGCAAGAATGCATATACATAGTATTGCTGCGCGCGCGATTGTTGGAAAATAGCCGCGGCCGAGGCTTATCGTCTCTGCTCGTCTCGCCTCGTCTGGAGGACAAACGAAAATCGGCAGTACGCAATAAGCGAAAATGTACGAGCGATATTTCGGCGAGATGCATTCGAACGTTAACGGGTTTTAATGACGCCTTTGATAAATCGAGTTTCGACGCTCGATCGCTTATTTGATGCTCTCGGGAAAATTGTATCGTTTTACGATATCCTCGCTGTTTCGTCCACGAAACGGGGGATGATTGCCTCTGTCGGGGGAATATCGAATCGAGCGGGCGACGCGCGATGCACCAACTTATCTACAGCGATGCAGCAAAGAGCCGCGTGAAAACATCCATTAGCACTGTCGATTCGCTCTGAAAAACATGTTATCGCCGCGCCGATTGTCGATGCACCGTCTCTTTCATCGCAATACTGATAACAATTTGCAAGCAATAGTACCTAAAAAAACACATTTTTAACAAATCTGCAAAATTTCCTTATTGTGAAATTTAATTATGCATTGTAGAAAATTCTTTTTTTTTTACAAAAAAAGAATTAAAGGGAAAAAAATTAAATTTGTATTATTAAAAAGGGATTGATCAAATATTTATATCAATATTTGATAATAATATATTGTGTAAAATTATGAAAACAGGATAGATTTATTATTTCATATCAGTGAAGAAGAAAAGAGTATAAAGAAACTAAGGTTAAATAATTATTATTTTAAATGTTTGATTTTTTAAAAAGAATTGAGTTTGCTTTGCTTGAAGGATTAATCTGTCGAAAGGGCACAACATTCGCGTTTCAATAGAGTGGGTGGGACGTCACGAGGATGATGAGGACGATCGACGTGTCCCAGGACGTGCCAGGTTGTCGGTGGCATCCGCGAGCGCGCCCACCTGTTGACATCGGGGGCGGTTGGTCGTGGGAACGCGGCGTGCGGGGATAGGGAAGTGTAACGGTTGTGTGGTGGTGCCCGGGCGCGCAAGGGTGCTCGTTCATTATCTACCGCTCTGTGAAAGCCAACGGCTGAAAAGCCCGAACTGCCATATTCCGCCGCCACCGCCGTGCTGCGAAAAAGCGGCACCATTTTTGCGCGCTTTTCTTTTGCAGATAATTAGCACATTCTAAAATTATGAAAATTATTATCTGTAAATTTTATTATTGTTGAATTATTCGTTAGAAGTTAATGTTTTATGAATTTTCATAAATTTTTTTTATTATATATAATTTCTGATGAATTACTTTATTATTTTCAGTTTGTGCGATTTATACATTGTGAAAGTTATTTACTTTTATAAGTTAAATTAATTAGATGGATATGCTTTTATTGCTTGAAAGAAATAATTTACGATATTATTCATTGTTTGTTTGCTTTATATTTCCAGGGAAAATGCAATTCTTTGAATTTTTGCTGATTAGCTTCTTTATTGCTATGATCTGCATTTTTATTTATATTTAATTGATGTTATTTTTTGTACTATCATTTAAATTTTATATTACTTATTTGCACTATCACGCATCTTTGAAAATTTAGTTTGTTGAATTCGAGCTGGCTTACATCGGTGTTATGATGCGTCGCAATATAGCGTATTGCGGCTTTCGCACCGTGCTATATGAACTTCGTTGCGGCCGCATAATAGCGCATTCGCTCTATTGACAGCTAACGCTGTAAAGATCTGAAATCATGATAAAGCGGCCGACGAACGTGACCGAGGCGCGTTTTCGCGACGAATGCCGCGTTACGTTAGTGTATATCCTTCCCGAAGAAACTCGACTCGAGATATCGCTCGGGTCTCGCTCGCACTGGTCGCTGATAACGGCGACGTTTTAAAAGCTCCATCGCGAATAAGTATATCGATGCCGATATATCGCTCGCCCCTCCACGAGTTCCGTGCGTTAACTGAAATAATTATTGTTAATTTGTAACGCAGTAACAATTTATAATGGTAATTTTTTAATATACGAAATTTATGAAATGCCATAGTACATGTAACATACAAGCATAATTATAAGATGATAATCATGATATATAAGGATAATCTTAATGTGAAGGAATAATTACAATGTAGAAGAACGATTATAATGTACGATGATAATTATTATCGTCACGACGAAAGCCGCGATATTGCAGCTTGCAGCATTGTAGTATCATTGTTTGATAATGCTTATTTATTGGAAATAGCCGGCAAAATATAGACACATGTATAGAGTGTCTCAAATTATTCACAGTTCAGTGATAAAATTCTTTGCAAATTTAAAATAGAATTTTTATATACAAGAATTGGATTTTTAGAATTATTAGAATTATTTTCATGCATTTATATAAAATATATAATTCTTTATATATTTATATAAAATCGCTAATAGATTATTAGAATTACTTTTCTAAGAAAAACTAGGCTTTTAGAAGAATTGCAATTGTTAGAAATCTTGACAAAGTTATTGAAAGAATAAATTTGCAATCTAACAGTTTATCGTTTCGCAAATTTAAGTGTTTACGAATTCGCGGATCTCTATATACGTGAGTTTAAAGATACGAGGATTGACGAATTTTTCCTGTATGGAATGTATCGGATATACATAAATAAAACGATTAATCGCGTCGAATGCATGGTTATCGGTGCGCGATATGAGAGCGCGTCACTCCGGTCGAGAATATGCACGTGTTATCGTGACGCAGCCTGCACACTGTCTAAAATACGCGCGGGTTTAATCGCAAGCGTAATTTTCATCATCGCGCGACATGCAGCGGACGTGCCTAAATTGCGGAATATGCGCGGTGAGTGTTCCTTGCGGAATAAATTTGTTGACGATTGGTTATCGCTTCGCCTTGCATTCTTCGCCGGAACCTTTATCAAGCCGTTACACAGGCGTCGCAACAGAAGGAATCAGAAATTTTCTTTTATTACTTTTCCTTTATCTCGAGGCGAATGCACACTTTACACATCCAATCGTCGATAATAAATTATTTTTCTTTATTGTTACACTTGCAAATATTATAAATCGTAAATTGTTAACATAGAAATAATCGAAAGCGTGTAATATGAATTACAAATAACGACTAGATAATAATTTAATTGTATCTTCCGCGTCATTTTAATTGATACAATTGATTAACATTCCTCACAATATTAATCTTCGCCTGCAATTAATATTCCACACATTTGTCGTTTAAAATGCATAAAATTCTAATTATTGTTTCGCGCAATTTTCAACAACGAAGACATATTTTTTTTTTTTATCTTTTTTCCCTCATTTCTCGACAATGCATTTGCAGTCTCCTGCCTCGCATGACGCCCATGCGTCGTGTCGATGTCGTTGGGATCTCTCTTTCTCCCGATGACATGTCAATAGTGCGCGTATGGTGAAGGAGGAGGAGAAGGAAACAGATGATGAAACGTCGTTCGAAACCGGCGATCTATCGCGTCCGTCTCGACGGCCGTTCAAAGGATGAGCGTTATCGAACTGATAATTCGCGCGCGCATCTCTCGCCGTTGTAGCTTCCGAGGGAATCTTTCTTCCCTCTCCTCGCTTCGGCATTCGATGAGGAGGAAGTAAAGCCGTTCGGCTTGTTTAATGCTAAATACATTTGTGATCTAAAATGAAACTCGTGTATTGATTGACGTGTGTGTATGAAACTGGCGTATTATTTTGAGAAAATTTATAATAAACTAATCAGAATTCTTGCTTACTGCTTAACAGTTATATAGGTTATATTCTGATAAATAAATGTAGTTTCTGATAGATAAAACAAATATTTCTCGCTATTAAAGTAGGAAAAATAACTCAGAACGAATTAAGATACCAAATTTATGTCGCATTGTCTCGCAAAAATTTGTTGTTACTTTTTGTCAGGTTTTAAGAGCCTTATATTAATTTTATATGAAGAGAGAAATATTGTTATAAATGTATCAGGATGAAAAATTGTGTGATTTCTAGCAATTTATAATTATATAAATATTTTAGCGCAAGTTTACAAGTAAATACTGCTGAAATATCTCTATATTGTTCTGTTGAATAATTTATATTGCTCCAGAAAATTTTATCTATGATAAAAGTAAAATTGATCAAAGTAAAATTGATTGATTTCAAAATCAATAGAAGTTTTGTAAAAAACCAGCCAGCTTTGCTGGCACACATATTATTTTGCAAGAACTTTGCGATAATATTTTATGTTATTTATAAAATTGCTGCATACATAAAAATTTGTGGAGAATTTTAAGGTAAGTTAAACGTACAGATATTAAAATTCTGCCGTACAACTTTCTCGTCTTAAGAAAAGAAAATTTACAATAAAATACAGCTATAGAGAAACAAGCTCATTATTTATTTATGCTAGTATTATTTACACATTATTTGTTGCAATCAGACATATATCGTAGCATCTAATGCGTTAAGAAAATCGAGATTCTCTTCAACTTTTAATCTGAGCCTATATCCAAGAGTGTTTTCATATTTCACCACACATATATATGTTATGTTAGAAGGACGTAAACATTAGACGTGTCGAATTCTCGGAAATACACCGGGCAAGTTTGTCCGGACATCATCGACTGTTTACGTCAGTCGTCGTTTGGCCTCCCGCGAAGTTGTTTGCCGCCACAAAGAGCTCGATACGCGTGCGAATTATCGCATTATTTATCGCATATTTTCTCCAGTGTTTCGGTGGATTTACGACACAACGTTAATTTATCGGGGAATGCATAACATTTTGTAGATATATATGTGTGAGATTACGTAGCGATTTTCGAGATTGAGCGAATCGTCGGACGCGATCAAGCAAAATCTTGCTGAAAAAAAACGTCTTGAAGTCGTGACGGTCAAGATTTTCGGATATATACACGGAAGTTTCTCGTAGCGAAATATAGAGGATTTACGATGCGACGATAACCGAAATATACGACATTCGTGAGTATGCGTGCTTAATATCACATAGCATTAGAGAATAAGCGAATCGTTGACGCGATCGAGCTAAATATCGCGGGATAAAAAAAATCTTGGAAACCGCCATAACCAAGATTTCTAGAAATGTACGCGAGCGAAGTTAGCTGTGCTCCGTTAATAATCGTTTGGCGCTCGCGACGCTATTTGCCGTAAGGAGTTCGTCTCGCGCGAGCGGATATTTGTTTGTCGCGTTTTCTCTCCGATATTTTGGCGGATTTACGGCGCGACGTTAACCGAAATATACGGCATTCGTGAGTATATATGCGTGATATCACGCAGTATTGGAGATTGAGTGAATCGTGGACGCGATCAAACAAAATCTTGCTGAAAAAAAAACTGTCTTGAAGTCGCGACGGTCAAGATTTTCGGATATATACACGGAAGTTTCTCGTAATGAAATACAGAGGTTTTACGATGCGACGATAACCGAAATATACGATGTGTTCGTGAGTATATATGCTTAATATCGCAGCATTAGAGAATAAGCGAATCGTTGACGCGATCGAGCTAAATATTGCGGGATAAAAAAGTCTTGGAAACCGCCAAAATTTTTAGAAGTATACGCGAGCGAAGTTGGCTATTCCGTTAATAGTCGTTTGGCGCTCGTGACGCCATTTGCCGTAACGAGTCCGTCTCGCGCGAGCGGATACTTGTTTGTCGCGTTTTCTCTGCAATATTTTGGCGGATTTACGGCGGGATGTTAACCGAAATATACGACATTTGTGAGTATATATGCGTGATATCACGCAACATTGGAGATTGAGCGAATGGTGAGCGTGATCGAACAAAATCTCGTCAGATAAAAAACGCCTTGGACGGCCAAGATTCTCCGAAATATACACGAAGTTTCTCCGGGCGAGGTCGCTCCCGTCGTTTCCGTCGATCATCGGCACCCGTGACGCGGCGTCTCGCACGCGAGTGTTGTTTATCGCTTTATTCCTGTTTTATGCGTTTAGCCGGATTTATAGCGCAACATTAACCGGAATGCGTAGCGTTCGTGAAAAATTACGTAATAATCGGAAATCGGAGTGAGTCACGATTGTACAAAATTGTGTAGGATGAAAACGTTCTATGCGTTCGGGAGTGATAAATCACGAAAATGAGCTTGCGATAGGTTTTGCTCGCGTAATTACGCGTCGAGTGCATATATATGTGTGTGTGTGAAATACAAAGAATCTGGATATGGATGCGGATTAAGAATCGAGGATGTTTGCTGTAGTCATCAACTTTGAGGTTGGAATCTCAGTCTCGAAACTGGACAGCAGTGGAATCTCGATTTTCCTGAATCGTCTTTTGAGTGCTGCGAAATATGGCGACAACTGCGTACGGTGAGTACTAGATATTAAATTTCATTTATTTCAGCGTTATTTATATTTTCTTTGTTTTGCATAAGAAAGTTGTACAGCAGATATCTGATGCCATCGTATATATTTGTTTTCGTTTGACTCCGACAATTTTTGTGTGTGCAGCAATTCTGCAATTAGCAGTAAATATTGTTATAAAATTATTGAACAACAACACAGCATTCTTGAAATATTAAAAATAAAGTCAGAAGTTTTTTGTTTCAGTAGAATTTATACGAATTTATACGTTTATTATAATTTTAATAATCAAGATTTAATTTTGTTTGGAATTAAGTAAAGAATAATACTTTGCTGTATCTATCTTGACATTTTACAACTACATATTTAATTTAATTAATTTATTATTTATTACCTTTAAATATTTTTCTCAAGAATAGTACTGCTTCCTTCTTGTTAAAGAATTGTAAAATAACTGTGCTTTTATCATTCTTGTGCGATGCAAATTCAATGGTTGATTCTACACGCACATGTCTTAATGCATTTATCGTGTTCTTGTTTTTTAAAAATCAAAATAATCCGCACGTCTTAATTTTTAACATTACTCTTGAGATTTATAATTCCGAGAGAGTGTACGACTTTATAGGCACCGATAGATATCCGTATAAGAGATTGGACGGGTTTTATTATTTTGCCGGACAGATGAGCCGACTAGATGTAATGGACACCTAGCTGTTATGCAGCGCTTTGATCGAACGCTTGATAAGATATACCAGTCATGTATCTATGCACGCGTGCGCGTTTTACGATCCGCGTAAAACATACCTTAGGAGACTTATTAGGACAGATAGAACACAGATAGAGAAAGCGAACGGGGATAATCTTGTCCCGCCGGTCGTTTGCGTTATCGAGAGATCGATTCTGTGAAAAACGTATCACCCTCGTCGTGGATGAGTCGCGTTTGAAGTGTAATATGTAACCATGTTTTTACCGCGTAAACGAGTATTTCTCTTAACGAAGTACCGAGAAACGTATAAAACGTATATGTGTAGCTGTAAACGTATATACGCAGCTGTGGAATCTAAGTATTCCTATTTTTATTGAACCTTTATCTTTTTGATAATTTAGAATTAGATGAATATTAATAACATTTCATATATTTTTCAAGAAATAAATTATGTGAAAGTTTTATTTGCCATATAATTTTATATGATACATTTACATTGCTATTTTACATTTACGTTATTATTTTGCTGCAATAATTGCATTACATTTTTTTATATACTTATGCGTAGAACAATATAGAATTCTCTCAATTGATCTATTCAAATTAAAAAAGAAGTAAGAACTGTTTTGATATACTAAATACAAAATATTTTCGGAATTACTTTATTGAGAAATAAGAATCATCATAATTACTTGAAGTTTTAATTAATCCTTAACTGTGTTTGCGAAATTTTATCAAATTTCTTACACAATAAACTTACATATTTAATGAATAAATTAATGAATAGAATATTATTTTCACATTAAAAATAATTATATTAAATATTTAATATTTTGTTTAGTACAAATTTTTTCTTAATACATAATGACACATTGGGATTTGAATGCACTTTATTGGCACATATAATACATGCCGAAATTAATTAAATATAATTCAAGACATTTTAGACAATTTAGAATTTACGACAAATTAAACTAAAACAGAATTCTATTTACAATTTTATGTGCTGCGGAAAATTTGGAAAATCAAAATGCTTATATGTACAAAAGATATATTAATGATATATATATCTCTTTTATGTATGTATTTCGATTTTTAAGTTTTTTTCTAAGATTAAGTATTAATTATTTAATTAAAGGGCAAATCGTAAGAGTAGATTTCTGTTCCAAATTTTGTTGCGAATAGTAATAAAGTAAACTTATGCAAAATGTATACCGCGCGAAAAACTTCATTAAAACGAAAACGAATATTCGCCAGTTTCCTACATGTGTACTCAGACGAAAGAGGTTTGCTTCGGACCCGGATAACCGGTTAATCGCGCCCGTAACTCTCCGCGGTGTGCCCCGATCCGCCGCACGTGGGGCGTCGTGTCGTGTCGTGTCGCGTCGCGCGGTGACTTTCTCCGACGCTGTCAAAAACGACGAGGCGAGCGAACGAGCGACGCGTAGCTCGGCGCGGTGCGACGTCGCTTATCAGTAGCGCGCGCTATCGCATACGGGTCGCGCTAATGTCTCCTTATCAGAGAGAGAGGTGGTTACCTATCTACCTATTCGCCGCCGCGCTCTTTCTCTGCCCACACGAGCGGGTCGGATTTCCAGAGCTACCAGCACACCCTAACTCTCTTTCTCCCTCTCTATCTCTTTCTTTTCTCTCTTTCTTTTTCTCTTTCGCTTATACTAACCCACCTGACCTAACTCTACGCGGGACTACGTGTCACCCGGACCCCGTTGCTATCACCGCCGTCGTCGTCGTCGTCATTCCACGACGACGACGACTTTCTAGTTCCAATGTTTCTGTTTCCGCGCGTTTCCTGATAGCGCGAACGCTCTCAGCCCGCAAAAGCGATAGTTAAAAGCGACAGGCAGCACCTGCCCTTTTCTTTACTATTACCGCCGTTGCGTTATCAGCCGGTCGGCCGCATTTGGCTAGTGATATCGCTTCCGTCGCGAAACGATTAACCGGTTTCCATCTTCTACCAGTCCGCCGGCAAATTTGATTGTTAGTAATTAAATAATTATTACCAAAGTATCTAGATAAGGAGTATTTGCTTTAAATACATGATTATTGATATAACATTTTTTTTTGTTATTAATTGCATAGTTTTATTATTTTTTGTTAAATGAAAATCTATTACCTTTATTTGCAAGAAATTAATTTTTCTGAACTAAATCTTCAGCCTATTGCGTCTTAAATTTATTTGTCTAATTTCAATAATACTTTATTGATGTAAAATAATAACAATGTGCATAATACAAATTTATCAAACTCGATCATTTCTGATTTAAAAATAAAATTTCTGCCTTAAAGAAGAAATAATGACATAAATGATAAAGCAGTTTTGTTTGCGAAGAAAATTCAGCTCCAGTATTTGCGATGTACTCGCAATGATGTAAATTACTATCGGTACGATAGTTGATAAGGGCCTTCTTATCGGGGCCGTATCAGGCCTTATCGCGGCGCAACGGCAAATCAGAGCTTGGCCGAGCGACATGGCCCGCTGATAACGCGTTTAATCAACGACCATACGCCTATTTCGCGCGAACATCGTTGCGATTGGCCGCTTTGTCGTGCCATCTCCGGCAAATCGAGTGCTCGCGGTTCTTCTATCAGTGGCGCGATATCGCTGATATGCGTCCGCGCGTACATTTCTGCCTCGAAGAATAAATCGACGCGAAGGAACGCATCGTACTATGATAATTGTGTCGTTATCGCCGCACGCATCGATGTTGAATGAGTGCATCTGTTTAAATTAATGAAGCCACGCGCAACTTGAATGACTCGTCGTTGTGTCAACGCAATTTTACGAGTCATCTTGTGTGTGCTCTGTATAAATTATTTTAAGATAATTTTAATTTGATATTAATTTTTTTTATCACGGTATTTATTTGAAATCTGCCGATCATATATTAAATAGTGATTACATTACTATTTTTTATTGCTATTTATGATATGAAGTGTTTATAAAGTATCGGAAAATATATAATTTCTAGCGAAAATTGAATAGAAATATTAATTTGCATACAACAATACTGAAAAATAGCCTATGATATATTTAAAGTACAAATAAAATATATTTATGTCATATTCCATATAAGTTGATTATATTGCATGTTCCAAAAGAAATAATTTTCTCTACATTTTATTTTATAATTAAATCTGCATATACATGTTAGATTTATTACAAATAATAAAATTAACAAAATTTTTTGCAAGAAATTTTTTATTTTATTTTTGAAGAAATTAATTTAATTGGAAAGAAATAAAGTTTCGCGTTATATCATAATATTTTTATAACTAAGCTAATTAATAAATTGAGAAAGTTATAGATTTTTAAAAACAATTGAAAGGAAATATCATTTATGTGCATTTATTTTATTAAAATATCATTTATGTGCTCGCAAAATAATGTGTATGAAGTTAGCCCCACACTTTAATAAAATTAAAATAATCGAAATTGTACTGCATTGTACTAGTTTTGTACCAAATTGTACCGTAGTTAATTATTTGAAATCACGCGCGGATTTCCAAAAAATCGAAATTTTTGAATTTTTTGAGTAGCCCCACACTTTTCGAAAAATGATTTTTTCTCGATTGTACTACATTGTACTAGTTGTACCGAACATTGTACCGTTTGAAAAAAATTCCTAACAAATTTGGATTTTGAGAAAAACAAGAAAATCGAAAAATTTTTGACATTACGTAATTACGGAAAATCGGCTATTTTTAAGATATCGAAACGCGGCCAACGGGGTTCGAAAGAGAATCGTTATTAAAAAAAATTTTTTTTTAAATAAAAATTTTAAAAAATTAGGCCCTATATCTTAGTATAT